ACTCTCATCCCCTTCTTCTTCTTCAGCATCAATTGGTTCATCATATCTTTTTCTCTGTGTAATTTTCTTTGGATGATCAGGTACTATATATAAATATATATATATATATTAATAATCGAATGATCAATTACTTATTATTTCATATATATAAATATATAACAAACAGCTTACACATAGTTGATTCAACAGGTCTTCCAGCTTCAAGAGCATCACGTTGCTCCATAAGAAATTCAGCACGTCTACGTGCTGCAGGATCTGGCTCATTTTCAATAGGATTATCATCTATACCCACTTGTTCATATTGATCATAATGAGGATTTGATAGATAGTCTCTATAATAATGATGATGATGATGATAATAATAATATCAATATTCATGATGTAAAGCAGTTTGCCTGAAAAGTTATTTCCCATATTACACAAGACGTCATCTTGGAATAAAGAATTTTAAGTGTGAATATCCAAAAATATTTACTGATAAAAGATCTTAAATGTGAAACCCAGGATGTCCAAAAGCATTTTATCAAAACGGTGATTTGCCGAGACACACAAAATATCATAAATGTGGAGAAGTGCTTAGATGTGACAAAAGTTACCAAATATGAACTAACCTAGAGTTCATAATAATAAATAATTTATTAGATGATGTATGGATAACTAATATTTCCGACAAATTAATTCATTGCACTAGTCTTTGAGTGATCGGTTTTTTTTGTTCGTTAAGAATTATTTATTTCACTTTTATATATTAGAAAAAAGTTTTTTTTCATATATACAAACTCAAACGTGGAGATTTGCAGCAGTTGAAACGATAAATATTATTTCTCTGGATCGTCTTATTACTTGATTCTTTAGAAAATTATTCATTTCCGAAAAGGTTGTGCTAAAGATTTCACTATTTTTTTTTTAGACAATGTAAATAGGCAAGCATAAGACTCGAAAAAAAAAGAATTGCCTTGCTCTCTATTGAGTACAACATACAAATTATGCAAATATCAATTTGAATTTTATACCCAAACCTTAGAAAGACCCTGTAAAATATATTTATGAATTTATCTCTTGAGAAAATTACAGTCAAAGAATATATTTTGAAAAAGAAAATCGCGGAAGATCAAGTCATAGTAAAAATCAAAGACTCTTATCACATTCATCGAACAATTATGCGAGTTCTGCCGTTTATG